GCGTGTCTGTCGTAAATCTTGTCGTTTCGGGAAATTGAGTTAAGTATGCCGCATATACTTTTTTATGTTCGAATCGTATAAGCCTTAGATTTCGTGCGAGCTGGCTACTGTAGCCGAGGAGCTATATCCGAGTTCTCGCAGCCTTGCAAATAAAATGGAATATTTGGGAAGAGAGAAAAAATCTCGAAAAATTTCTCGGCGCTATTATCCGTATGGTATATATTATATCGTCTCTAGAGAGGCTGTTTACTCTCGTTCTCCCTTGTCTGTTCCGTATAAATAGACTAATTAGCATCCGCAACCCTATCATTTTGTTCGGAAGGATCCGGGGCGGCCGATGCAGCTGATGTATCCGGCGACGAGGCGAACAGCTCTTGAAACCGCGTGGCAGCCTCGCTATTTGCGAATGAAAGTTCGAACGCGTCAAGGCGACCCCTGCGCTGGTTCGTGGGTCGGTATTTCTCCCAAAACACGTATGGCTGTATATCACGTAGCCAGATGCGACGCTTCGATTTACGGAGGAGCCAGGACGAAGACACGTTCGGCGGAACTAATAGGGGAACATCACGATTAGCTGATGATGGGACCACATAGCAGAAATAGAGACGAAAATGTGGAAGGAAAATTGCTGTTGGAATACGTAAATGGACACCTACTAAATGCCGTCCATACGGGACATGCTCGCAGCTTGCCTTCCCAGACAGCAGCGTGGAGGCGGCAGCCGCCCGTGGCGCTATCCTCGAATACCATTAGAACATGTTGATAACCATCATCGATAATTTGGCTAGTTTACATGTTAGCCTCACTACTTCATTACAAACCTAGTGTATTTATGACTCACGCTTGAAACAGACGTCTCTCCTTGCGAATGTGATATTCGGCAGGGTTAACGTTGAGTGTAAGTTGGCTACGAACTCGTAGGCATAGAAATGTGCAGTAGAAGAGCACCATTTCTACCACCAGTCAGCTTGGCTCTTCAATAGTATGAATCTTTCAAGTCTCGGGGAAAGCTAACCTTCCCAAGTCAGAAACGATAAGTCTGCCCAAGGCTTGACTTTCCGCTCCGAGCGGCTCCATCTGGATAAGTGCAGGACAGAATCACTTTCTCTTCGAATAGTGAGTTCGTGGACACCGAGGACGGAAACCCAGTTCTGGCTAGCGACTTTCGATCGAATCAGAAGCGATGGCGCCTGGTCTCTAAGCTGCAGGAAGAAAATAACTGAGATGCGATCGCTATCGAATGACCTGTGATGTATATTAGTATAGCGTACGTATGTACCGAAGTAAACCTGCGCCATGAGGAAATTAGACGGATAGTTACCTTTTGATTAGTATCTTGACGTCTCGTGGGAGTGGCGGGAGATGGCCAAGTTTCTGCAAAGGGCCGAAAGCGTCTGAGCTGTCCGATATTAGCTGCAAGTTGACCTTGAAATGTCCAGTTAGAGAAGCAGATAACTTACCGTCCTTGATGCTTAAATTCCCTCCGCGACGGCAGGGGTTGAGTAAAGATTGCCTCTGCCCAGTGCGAATTCTACCCGGTTTCAATACAACTGCTCCCAGAAAGAAGTGTTGAAAGGCTTACTGTTTCTTGATTCCAGAACTCTAATGCCTCGTCTCGTCGGATGAGATCGGTTCTGATAGGACTTGGCGGGGCTACAAGAAGGATCAGCTATATTGTAATAATAAGGAGGTATGAGTTACTAACGTATCTTCCTAGCTGCACGTAGTTGGAGAATACGGATGCGCAAGGATTCCATCCCATTCAAATCGAAGTTCGGAGACCTATCTAACTGGGTAGCAGAAGGATCTATTAACAAGTCAACCGGGATGATAGGAGCCATACCTTGTTAAAAGTTCCTGAAGCAGCCGCAGGAATTGATTATACATGATAAATCTAGCCGGTAGAGTGGTACCAGGGAGTTCGTTACCAAGTTTATGGTACATGGTCCTCCATCGGTGCTCCTTGTTCATTGACTTGTCTTCGTAGAATGACATGATATCTCGGAGCGTTTTGCAGAGACATGGCAGGACGACGTTAAGATAGTCAAAGACTGCGGGCAGCTGAGAGACGTGAATCTGGGCCTGCTCTGCAAGGTCGCGTAGTAAACGGCTTGTGTTATATATCTCTTCAATAATCCCGCTTAAATGGGGATGGAACTGCTCTGGGAGACAATTTCGTAGCCCTTGAAGGTTAAAGCCAACCATATCGGCACGATCAGCTTCGAGAAAACAGCCATTGAGCAACTGAGGGCTGAGTTGTTGGACCGCCATCCTGGCGGCCGGGGTTCTATTACGGTGTAGAATCGGATCCATGGCTAATGAAGCTCTTATGATCCCATGATGGCAAATAATCAAGATGTCTCACCGCAGAAGAGAAAAATGTCGCCTATCCAGCTTATCCTCCACAGCCACCACGGGACTCGGTTTCGTTACACACCAAGCTTGACAGTACTTGCAGCTGATGCCGGTTCTAGAAGGTAGCAGAAAGCGAACGAAATCGATATTGACGTGATAGTATAGCGTCGTTTAGGAACACTAAGATTCTCACTCGGTTGTTGATAAGCACCCGGAAGATCACCGTCTCCACATGAGAGGTTGTTGGCCGTGTGGGGAGGGGGAATTTTAAGAATGAATTGACTAGCGAGGGTAGACTCAAGAAGAGTCGTCTTATACCTAATAAGATTTAGACGTAATGAGAATCTTGCCCGCGAAAGGAAGTATGTTTCTGCAAATCTCATATAACGTGAGTCCAGAGCCCAACGACGGTGGGGTGACGTGTTAGGTATGTATTCCCCAACGAGAAAAGGCTCGATCCGAAGAAGGCCGTATGTGTGTGTGGAGTTCGTGTGGACAAACACCGAAGGTGGGAAAAGAGAGGATAATACTAATTATACGACGATGCGGCTATAATCGTATGAAACCTAGTAACTATATAATCTCAGATCTGAATTTTGGTATTTAGTATTTTGCTATAGTTATTGACCGAGATAGAAGTGCATGCGTGGCTCAGCTATTCTGATGCCGGTGAGAAGTGCATAAATACGAAATTAATCGACGGGACAAAAAATGATAATAACCCTTTGCTCCGAGTGGCAAGCCGTAGAGATGATATCAATTAGGTCCAATGAAGGAATCAGCCGACACAGACATACATAAATGAGCATAAGGACGATCAAGATGGGAAAGGTATGAAAAAGAAAAGAACATTTTAAAAAAAAAAAAAAAAAAAAAACCACCCCCCGCCAATTGGCTTGGCTGTCTGTTCGGAAGTTTGCCGTTGCGGGCAGCTCTGGAAGTGGTCTTTCAAACATTATTACCTTGACTCAAGTAAGAGACTGCCACGAAGCCCGGCAGCGAACCTCTAAGCAAGCGTATGCACCAGGGATTGGTGGATCTTGTCCGCAAAGACCGGATCAGGCGTAGAGCGGGCCATGGTGCTACCACGCTCACGGCGCGGAGAAGGGAGCACTTGCATAAGATAATATGCAGGGAAGAAAGCGGACTGGACGAGGGACGAGGGGTTTTGTCATGACGATGCTTGCCGGGCAGCTTTGCGCTTGTCTGTCTGCGGCCTGGCGCAAGCCCGGAATTTGATGGGATAACAAATAATGAAGCGGGAAGAAATCTAACAAAGACAAAACTTTTGGCGTTTATGACTTTCTGTGATGAATATTACCGCTCGTCTCGTAAGCGCCGATGCGTACCAAATTTTGGTCGGCGATAATTGTTTCAGTCCATGGTATATAATGTTTGCCAGCGCTTGTCGGGCGGCTAAAAAAATATTGCGATCGAAAATAATGCCTGGTCAATAAAATATGATCGTATATAAACAGGAACGACCGTATTAGATGGTGATAGAATATTAGTATATCATCTGCCCAGCAGGTTATCGGGTAGTGTAGGGTGGATCTGAATGTTGTATATCATAGAATATGCAGCATGATAGACTAGTATCTTATAAGGAAAGGGCATCAGCATCATCTCTAGCTCTGGTCGAGGGACTGATACACAGCTCCGATCGAGGGTCAGATGGCGTGCGATGAACCCGATGCTTCCTTGCGTTACTTTACATACAACAGTGCTTGCATGCATTTTCAGTCCCAGAGCGATTTGGGCAGCTAGTACGTATGAGTGTCAGATCTGACTGATCTAAGCAATATATTAGATCGATATGTAGGGATACGTATGCTGTATGACGGACGATATCTTGGTGAGTAGGTACCTATGCTGCCCTGCATATGCTACTGCCGCCGTCGCCGAAGATGCGACTGGATGCCGTGTTTTAATTTAGGACTCCGATGATTGGCTTAATCGAATCATCCATTTCCCTTCCGTATGGGCCAATCGTAAGTCCAGTCTATCCGTGGTGGCATTGTCGAAACAAGCAACGAAAGTTCGGAGAAGTCAACTATATATATATATATATATATGTCTACCTAAGGTAGGTAAGCACCTATGTCTTCAAGAATGACTTAATAGGCTACAAAATTCCAGGTAGTTCGTTTTAGTCCTACAGCCTTGCGTTTGCGGCGTTGTTGTGAATAAGGAGGGTAGGGGAATAGGTCGGGCAAGGATCTTAGCCACGTCTGCCTCCCACACTTCTCTTGGTCAGACCCCTGACTATCCAGATCTCCGGGACAAGATCCTCGCATGCATCTGTCTACCGAGCACGGGTTGACTTGGGTTGGATTCGGCCACGTGAGAACGCCGCGCTTACACAGTATTGTATCCGTAATCATTATATCACGGGCTAGAGTAATGAGGCCAGCTGGGACTAAATACTAGTAGTGTGTGGACAACTCTCTTCAATGATAAGAGCAAACTATTTTTACATCGCGTTGTTGAGAAGCACTGACATAGCTTCGTGCTTCGTAGCAAGATGGCTAGCTTAAATTAGCTGCGACAACGCCACTGGACCAGGGTAATTCCCCGAACTCTGGTCCAGTCAGAGTGAAAATGATGTAAAGAAAACTAAAGCACAATGTCCCTTTCCCTGTGCATCAACACCGACCGATCCCATACGCATTAGACTGGAAAGGAAACTTGTGCCATTTACCACGGTCAAAAGGCTTCCTATGCCGCACGACCAGAACCATCTCGTCGTGAAAGCTCATGACCAACAGGCGGGCAAGACAAGAGGACATTACTATTCGCTCTCATCATCTCCGCCAGCCTAATCGGATTCGGCCTAATTAGTCACGCTCAGCGCTGCATATTAATAACAGGAATGCGAGTAACTTACCTGGTAGGCTTGCTTCTCGTCTTCATATCGCTTCTTGTCGGCCGCTGCCTTGGCTTCATAAGGAGCACGTTGCTTGTCGTTGAGTGCCTTCCATCGTTCACCAAGGATCTTGCCAACTTGACCTATGACGAAGTTAGTACGAGGAGATTTGGCGTATGACTAGCATAACTTACCAAACGAGATACCAGGGTTCTCGTCACGAACGTTCTCTCGTTGCTCATTGGCGAAGAACATGTAGGCAGAGAGACCACGCTTGGGTGCGTTGGGGTCTATGTCCAAAAGAGTTAGTGATTATTCCAACAAGTATGCGAGCTTGGTGGTAGGCTAGTAACAGATGGATGATGTCTTATAGCACTCCTAGAGACTCGAGCCATCCGGGATTAATGTAGCAAAAGTATGCTAGATTAGATACCGGAATTGGTATGCATCAAGACCGAGTATATGAAAACAGCAACTCTGTATGACTCACCCTTCTTTCCTTTTCTCTTCTCGACCTTACCGGCCTTACCACGCTTGGTTGCTTCCTTTGGCATTTTGACTGATATTCTAATGTAATTGTATGTTAGTTCCTGTTAGACTAAATGGACGTGCGTGCCTAAGATTGAACTATAAGAGGTTATGTGGTAGAGTGAGCGTGCTAAGGGAATCGGTCGCTGGGTGGTGCGGTCGGGCGACAACTCGAATAAATGCGAATGAGGGGCAGATGGATAAGATGTTGAGGTGGTGATGCACGGTCATGCTGAATGCGATGCGCTGTTGTCGCAAATGCAATTGTATGCGACAACGCGTAAAAACCGCGACTTGAAGCTCGGAATTGAGCAAAGTAGACCTAAATGCATACCTTGAAGTACTTCTTAAAAACTTGAAAAGTTATGTTGTGGTTGAATGAAGCTGTTGCGCGCAATCGCAGTCAGTGGAATTGTCCAGTCTAAAATGCAGGGTGGACTAGGAAAATCTGATGGTGGATTCGCAAGAAGTCGATGCAGCAGTCAATGTCAACAGAAGCTATCGAATAAGCTTCAAAACATCCGACGATGATGCAAATCAAGTTAAAAACATGATGCATCTATTTAGAGATGAATTGACATTGCTGGGACGATAAGATGCGCGCAATGTAAGGAAGTGGTTGAGGTGACTTGAGGTTTGCAGTGCAGTGCCATATAAACGGAGGTACTCACAATTTGTATGGGCAGCTATTGAGGTTGAGTGTAGGCTGCGTTTGTATGAGAGACGATTTAGGTGGGAGATTTGTATGTGGGAGAAGAAAGGGAAATTTGTATGGGGGGAGCGTTGGCCTACTGCCTTTTTACTGCGCCTGGGTGATTGTGTGCAAAGCCAGACTTGAGACTGCCCCAATTTCTAAGGGAGGGTGCAAAGAGGGAGGGGGGGTCTGCACCAAAAAGCGGGCAAGCGATAGACAGACCGTAAGGTAGGCACAGTGGCCGAGTGATTTTGGTTGGAGAGATACCTAGGTAGGTACCTGAGCAGGTGGTAGGGGAAGCAGGGAACTGGAGGTAACCAAGCCCAAAGCGAGTAACCACTGGTTGTTCTTAGGTTAGAGAATTTCTGTGTGCAGGCTTTGCCTACCTAGGTAGGTTGTCTAGTACCTTGTATACCCAATTTCGGTAGGGAGGTACTTCTCATACCTTGTGTGTTATTAGTCGGTTTGGACGTTGCAATAAGCACGATACAGGGAAGTAAGTCCTCTACGCCACAGTGCAATAAGCACTGTAAGAACCACTGTACCTTCGGCTATGTATGTACATATCACTATTATTAATGTTTAAAACGGTCAACATTATGAGAGGAAATATTAGGGTATGTTGCCATGTTGCTTTGTTTATGTACCTATTACTCCATCACTGTATCACTTATTCTTCATCAATATATTTTTCATTCATTCACTCTTTCATTCATCGCTCATAGCGGCAACTAGCCCAGCCCAACCAGTCCTGGTTATTCTTCTTCAGCATAGCTACATGTAGGTGTGCAAAACTGCAAAGCTGCAAAGCATGGAACCGATTTATGACTCCTTTTTTTAAATCATTTATTATTATTCTTTACATAGCACGGTACGTTACCTAATATAAAGTGGTTACCGGTAATATCTTTATACCGCGTACATACATTCTGTTGTCCTTCTCAAACTTCCCTCTAATCTGCCCATGAAAAACAACACGGGAAATGGTTGCAGTTTCTCCGACGGATATTGAGCAGAATGCCGCTGGATAGATAGAGAAAAGACTAGACGAAAAGGGGGAAAACTCATATTAGTACAGCATCACCAGGCTCATACCAGGTCTTAGCCGGATGTCTGATACTGTGTACCTCGATGGAGTGGCATCACTGATTTCCTCTTTTTTGCGTCAATGCTTCGGGAATCAACGTTTTAATCACTTACCTAACGTGCCTCCATTCCTAAAACAACCATAAACACAAGACTCCATTTCCGCTATGATGCTTCAATTATTCAACATAATAACCTACATATAGATAACCTACTACCTCTACATATGTACATGCATCCTACTTCCTTCAACCTTAGTTGCACTCTTGCATCTTACCAAAAGACAAGGGAAAACGATGCATAAGTTGGAAGTGCTGCATTGCATAGAGAAGAAGAGGAAAGTAAAAACAAAAGAAGAATGCGAAAACCAGACGGCTTAGGGAAAGCTATCTGGAGGTACAGCGTTAAGCCCACGCGCGTACATACATGTACGTACAGACTGTATGTACCTCAGACTGGAGACTGACCCGGGTGCATCACAATTGATGATTGTACACTATGGCTTGGAAGTACTTTACGCTTCCTTGTTAGCGTAAATGTACATCACCCATGCTAGGTACTTTTCTTTTACCTATCAGGCCTGGACTTACTGGGTGGATGGGATGGCCTTTTTTTTATGCCTTTTTTGCCTGGTCTGGTCCTTTGCAGCTGATTACCACCACACGAAATTTCTGGCTGCAGTTCTGGGAGTCTGACATTCCCCCTCTTCGCCTCTGCACCAGTTTCTCTGTCTTTCTCCCCTTTCTTTCGCATCCCACCCCCAAACAGCATTGACCCCTCACAATTTTTTACCAACCACTCTTCCAGCTTTACAACGGTGATATTACCTATCCAGCTGGATTACGCAGGCCCAGTATTTTATTCTCCCCATCTCCGTTTGCCTTAGTGAAAACATTTCCATGGCGACGTTTTATTTTATTTTCGCGATATACTCTCCGTTTTGTTTCTAAAGTGCTAAGAAAATCTAGATTCCTATAGCCCATGTCCTATTACTTTACCCTCTTTACGATATCATAGCCCGATGATTATTGGATATTTTATATGGCATCTCTAACCACTAGACGAATATGAATCGCGTAAACTATCCATACACGCACGATATTCTTGGGATATTACCAAGGGGCTGTTCCAACCCAATACGTTCACACAGGCAAATATCAACGCAGCCATTTTATAGACCAATAATCTTTAAGAATTTGCATTGCGGTTATCCTAGTTGTACTGGCGTAACTTCATCCCGCAGAGTCCCGTAAGCCAGCCTGCTCAAGCTTGCTGCACATCCTTCAAGGAATAAGCCCCCCTATTGTAGCAATAATATGAGCAATGCAATCCTGTCGCACCGATTTGGAGTTGTATCACCATATTATCGAGTCGCATTATGGGCAGGCATTTGCAACACCTTACTGTAAACTCGTTACAATCTACAAACGGACAAATAATTTATATTAGTTAGGGACGAGGGACGCGATGCGAATCCTCGAAAAATTCTATTAGCCCGCGATAGATTTTATTAGTCAGATCTCTGCATGATATACCCAAGCACCAACAACAATTCATATTATGGTGTTCTCATGTGTACATCCGTTTGGGAATATTGGCCATGTCTCGTCTTGATCCGTTCAAACAGGCTGCTTTACTGTCTCATCTGATTCTAGGGCATCGGGTGTCTTGCTAGGCCAAAATCATCGAAAGACAGCCAGGTACCACATGTTTAAACAGGTACATCTTATTGCAGAGATGCGGGTTACACCAAGAGATGCTTCGGGAATGGTCTCATTTGCATCTTACACTGTGTTCGCATTCTTCATTTTCCATATTGATTATGGTGGTTTTTTTTATTAGCGTAACGATGACGACCTTTTCTTCCCTTCAAGATTCTCCACCGTTGATAACACCATGGCAAAACAAGCATTGATTCCGTCAGAGGCAAAATACAATTAACTAACTGAACTCTAGTCTTTTGAATAAGTCTACATGTGTAAGCGTGAAGCCCAGGTTGATGCTACACGCCATTTTGTTTACGTCACGTCTGATATAATGATCCATCCGTTAGTTTAAAGTACGGCTTGCCTCGTCAACAATATTTCCAAGTTTTTCATGTCCCTATCTGCTTGCAGTATACTTCATGCAATCTGCCACTTCTATAGCAACTTCATCGGTCTACTGGCTACCTAACCTTCGATGCATCACATCAAATCCTAAAATAGATTCATTCCACGTGATTCATGCCTGCTTCGGCCAAGACTGATTACGCTAAGCCCTATCTATCAGGAACGGATGCACCTGGTGCGTTGGAAATCTACATATTATCAAAGCTGGTATGGGTCTAGATAAGCCGTGACGATAGGGTTATCTATCTGTGAGGTAGCATTGTGACGACTTAATGGTTCAGATGCATTATTCTAGGGTTTGTAGACTAAGACGATAAAGAAAATAACGAGTTTTCACATATGAAGGTAAAGAATAGTATTGTCAGATTAGTGAGATTATTACTCAGGTGGGTATCATCGAACTTGCTCTTCTCATCAACACATAGAATTTTGAACCCCTTTATCACGCTTCATCCTCGTTTTCAGGGTCCAAAACAATATCCCTCAGCTCAGAATCTCTAGACCAATCAACTCCACTGCCAGCAACCACTGCACTTGCAGTGCCTTTCAGGACCCGCCATCTCTGTCTACTTAGCTTAACCTGGCCCTCCAGGTTCGAGATCTCAGCTGCCCGCTCCGGATCTAGGTTAACCGCCTCGGCCTTATTCCGATTCGTCTGCTCAGCAAGTTCGAGTAACTTGGACGCCAGCTCTACGTTCTCGCGACCGAGGCGTAGACTCTGACTCTCTACCTCCGTGATTTCGTCAAGCAGTGTGCGTAACTCTGAGGACTGCTGTGCTAATGCTGAAGATGACTGGTCGCGTTGTTCTAGAATGGGCAGTAAGTCCCTATAGAATTACGGACTAGAGTTAGAAATAATGGTATAGGGGTGGATGCTATAAGCCTTACCTTTCTATAGGAGATGCCTTGGTACCGTTGTGTACTGCCTGTAGGATTGGATTGGCAGCCACAACACTGTCTACTACTTGATTCCGGAGGACATATTTGGATCTTGAATCCAGAAGCGCTTTCTGGGCTACTTCTATGCTCCCATCTCCTGTAGGCGGACTTATACCTAGCATTAATTAGATTCGATGTATACTTTATAAGTTGGTAATAGAAACTTACGTGGATCGTAATTTTTCTGGGCTGAGAGTAAGGCGATCTCTAATTGAAGCTGCTGAAGGCGATCATGTAAACCTAGAATGCGATTCTCGTCATCTGAAAGGAGTAGTGGCGTTGGTTCGTGAATCGTCCCACCCGCCATGTCCTTTTGCGAATGAGCATACACGACGTAAAGGCGGTTTGTTTGAAATACAAGCGTGTGAGATGATCTTTATTTTATTATGAAACACACTTTCGCTTGGTTATCGCTTCTTTTACAAGATTACAATGGAGGTAAAGATGTATTAGGCTTGTTACGTTTAATAGATGTGGCTGTACTTCAAGGTTGAATGTGGCTTGATTGTTCGCGTTTAGATCCCCCATTTGTTGTAACATCCATTAGCACACTAAATAACAAACTTCAAGTTAAGCTATAGTGTAACGCATTTGGCGCAAACCAAAATTATGCCTATATAATATACGCAAATTGGATTCAAATCTTTAAGCTTCAACTTCGACCTGTAAGACTTTCTACTATGGAAGCTTGATACACTTTATTACACGAACGGGATTTACACGTCCACTATTAGGTACATAAGGTACTGTTAGGTGTTCGTGGTACCTGAATACATATGATTCGTGTATCGGATCTGAAGTAGATCATTTATGTACTTAAGCACCAGAGGGTCTAAGTTTACATAGTCCGTCCCCAGCAAAATTTGTGGATCATCGGTGACGAATTACAGAGAAATCGGAGGGAGCCTTATGTACGAACGGCGCCTGACTGCCTGCCAGCTGACGTTGAGCTCCGATACAGAAAGATAAAGCTTCACTTACCATCTTCATTATTCTTCAAGCGGCTTGTCAACGCTTGAGTTTCCCACCTTAGGGCTCTGCATATCTGAAACTTCATATTTGTTGTCGCATCATTTACTTCATTCTTTCAGGGGATGGACTGTATAAATCATGGCGACGCAGACGCAGGTGTTGATTGCCCACACGGGCCAGCGCCTGCAGGTCGATACCGCTCAGTTCTCATCGTACGTATTCTATTACTTACTCTAATTTGAGTATGCGGCCTACCGCATTTTTTTTAGTCTGCATGGATACTTCTGCTAACGGCCTTATTCTCTTCTTACAGCTTAGATGGTTTCAAGGCGTTGGTTGCCAGGCAAAGCTCTATACCCGTTCAGAATATTGTTGCTCTTACATCGCAAGGAAAGACCGTCAAGATCCAGAACATACAATCTGAGGTTTGTCCACCTTATCATTTCTCAGTTAGACCCATGTATAAACTTGAGATTAATATTTTCATTAGAAGGAGGTATATGTTTATGATATCCGAATAACTCAAGCTTCTTCGTCTGGCGCTGCTAGCGCTCTTATCTCCGAGTCCCCCGTGCCTAAACGATATACTATATCTACTCCCCCGAACTCGATCGAGAACGCGCATTCGCTGCAATCATGGCAGGATCTATTCAAGAGACGTCGCGACTGGACCCTAAAAGTCGTAGAAGACTGCACCATTATGGCCGATGCGGCCCAGGTGCGGTATAATGAAATAGATGTTATGCTAAAATGTCTCGATGCCGCTGTCGCAAATCTCGACAGCAGTGTTAAATTAATAGATCCAAAGCACTCGGAACTCAAGAAATGGGCAACGCCCATTCAAGATGAGTATGCCAATCTGGTTTCCAATTGGGAACAATACCTTGAGCTAGCACGGAGCATTGCTATTTCCCCGACGATGGTGCATTTTATGACAGGCCAGGACATTCGAAAGCCTCGTCAAGCAACGCTAGAGGATCTCATTGACCCCGAGCCTACTCGGAAAGCTGGAAAACTCGCCGCCACATCCCTTCGAAAGTTCAATAACAAAATATCCGAGTTAGACAAGACAGTCGAGATGATGTTTGGAGGTTGCGAAGAGTTGATACAGGAGTTCAATAAATTATTAGATCGCTCGGTGATGGGACATAAACGCGACAGTATCCAGTTACTAGAAGATATCGAGGCTGTTGCAAGAAAGGTCGATACGGATTACCAGACCACTCTATCGTATACTAATCAAGCAAAGGATATCCCACAGGCTTCAAAAACAGCTGTTAATCACACGAAACAGCTCTTACCGAGTATTCAAACCCGAGCTTCTGAGATGGATGACATGCTCCGCTATGTCACTCAAGCGCGAAACAGCATTGCTGCTGAATCTCTCACCTTTATGCGTAGGATTGCTGAGATAACCAGCGTACACCATAGTGTCAAGACTCAGATGCACGCAATAAACCAAGGAGAAGAGGAGATGACTACCTTCGACTATCTGCGCCTCATCCAACAACTCCCTTACATGTATGCGTCTTTTGTCGCCGAGGCTATACGGCGTAGAGAGTGGTCGGAGAAGGTAAAAGCCGATTCTTCGACGCTGCTTAATGAAATGGCTATATTCCAAGACGAGGAATTGAAGAGACGCCGGAAGTGGCATAAAATGGTTGGTAGTACTTATGGCCCAGAGAAGACCGAGAGCAGCGTACTTGGCTTCGAGGTTAACCTTCATGGTGATGATGAATCTTGGCCTCAGATGACGAAGCAAGAGCTTGATGAGTTCTTGACCGTATTAAGGCGATATAATGCGGATGCAGGAGTTTTGGGCGATATCACCAAGCTAATAAACGATCTCACTAATCCAACAAAGCAGCAGTCGAAACGGCTAAAAGCTTTCAAGAATGGTAGTGTACACGAAGCAGCTCTTGGGAGAAGCGGTCTGCTTATTCGCGGAGACGACGATCTTCTAAGAAGCTTACAAGGAGATAAGTCCAAACTAGAGAATAAGTTGAGGACAGCTGAGAGTCGAGTTCGCCGCCTGGAAGATCTCTTACATCGCCAAACTCAGGTATCAAGACCGTCACCTTTGGGTAATATCTTTCAACCCCAACAAAACGACTCGACCGGCTCCGTTAAATCACCCCGCGTGTCCGATGATCGGCGACGATCGATCGTCTCAGAGGGCAACGAGGCTTTATATCATCGTATTGCGCAGTTAGAAGGAGACCTCAGTGCTCAGAGAGAACGGTCTGCAGTTTTAGAGAAAGAAGCGAATGCTCACGCCGACTTGAAAGGCCGTATGGATGAAGTGAACTCCACGAAGCAAGATCTTTTAGGAAATATGGAAGCCCTGAAGAGAGAATTCATGGAAGAGCGTAAATCCTTGGAAGACGAAGTCAAGGCGCTGAAGGCCCGCCTCGAGGAGACCGAAGATGAGATCGAGCATTTCGGAGAATCCAGAGAAAATGAGAAGTTGACGTACGATGAGAAACTTCACTCTCTCGAAGCAGAGGTTGATTGTCTTACTAAAGAGAAGAGGGATGATGCTCTAAGGACACAGGGACAAGTCGAGTTTTTGCGTAATGAAGCCCGAGTTCAGAGAGAACGCAATGTGTCTCTTGAGAGGGAGTTAAAGGAATCGCGTGAAAAGGTCAAAGAGCTAAACAAGCGAGCTGAAACTTTCTTTGATAGTATGGACACGCATGCTCGCTCGCTCAGGGAGCTTTACGGCCAGTTATCTCCAACGGACGACCCTCCTCAAGACTTCGCAGACCTTACAGATTCCGTCGCGACTAAATCCAACGATGTCTTGGCCAGATTGAAATCCCTAGAACAAGACATATCTCTAACGAAGGCTGATCTAGAGCGTGCTCAGGCTACTGTCAAAGATGTAAAAACCGAATTACACACTGCGAAAGAGAAGCTTTCTAGTGAAGAGATGAGCTCGGTGCACTTGCGGGAGACATTGGATAAGGAGAAGACTAGAAGCGCGACTCTTGAGATGGAAGTGAACGAAGGGCGAGCGCAACTCAACCAACTCCGAATGAAGATGACTGAAGGCGAAACAGGATCAGAGACACTACGGCAGAAACTAGCAGATGAGGAAAAGAGAGTCGCAGAGCTAACCGAACAAGTGGCATCAAAACAATCCCAATTAGGTAGCCTTGAAGAGGAAGTCCGAATGTTCCAGGAGAAGCTACAGGCGTCCGATACTACACTAGAAGTCCTTAATAGTCGATCTGAGGTACGCAACGGTCGCACTAAAGACCTCACCCAGCGGTTATATACACAAAATGAGAGGCTATGCAGGCTTCTCGAACGCCTTGGGTTCTCCGTCACACGCAAGGATGGGTCGATGGCCATCCAAAAAATTCCGCGGTCTGAACGGACATCTCAAAACCCCAACGACTCGTCTGATCCCGGCTCTTCTATACGGCGATCCGTCTCGTTAACAAGTAACCCCCTTGCTGATAGTGCTGACCTTAAGTTACTATACTGGATGAACGCGGAGGACTCGAATACGGAAGATGAGCAGTACCAAGCTTTCATGGCCGGTCCAGGCAACTTTGATATTGATGCCTTTTCTGAAGCCATGTATCGTCGCGTTAAGGAAGTGGAGCATACTGCTCGAAAGATGACTCGGGACGCCCGTAATTACAGAGAACGGGCACACGATGCCGCTAAGGAAGCTCGTGACAAGATTGCCTTTAGACAATTCAAAGAAGGCGACCTGGCCTTGTTTCTCCCCACCCGTAATCAGACGACAGGTGCCTGGGCTGCTTTCAATGTCGGATGTCCTCATTTTTTCTTGCGGGAGCAGGAAGGCCACCGCTTGCGCAGCCGCGAGTGGCTTGTAGCCCGCATAACCCGTGTTCAAGAGCGAGTAGTCGACTTATCTAAGAGCTTGCAATCTACCACTGCTCTTCCATCAGAGGGTGAAACTGATTCTGTTAATACTGGCGACGAAAATGACAATCCATTTGATTTGTCGGATGGTCTACGCTGGTGGCTTATTGATGCGCACGAAGATAAACCCGGTGCCCCATCTACCCCTGGGCTTGGAAAGTCCACCGTCGCCGCAAACACTGTTGCAGCCGTCGCAGATATGCACGCACATGGACGTTTGAGCAAGGGGAAATCCAAACTGGGCCCTAACGGTGGAATTGAGGGTGTCAGTAGAACCCTCAGCAAGAGTCTCGAGAGCAGGCGTAGCAGTTCAGGCTCTAAGAAGGCCCAGCCTCTTGCTGGGGTCGTCGCCGCAAAAGGCAGTGCGCTAGCTAGCGAGACAAACAGTATCACAAGTCCAACAGTTGGGCCGGGGGGCGCAGGGCTAAGTGGAACGCAGCAAGAATCAACAGGGGACAGGCAAACTGCCGCAGATAAAGGCGAGCAAACCGAGGTGCGGCGCGATAATTAACACCACCCTCGATCCTTGAGACATAGTCGCTGATGGGATCTAGCGTCGCCGAATAGACGATAACCCCAATACGCAGCAGCCTCAGCAGAGGCCGTCGGGTCAGCCTCGAACACAATCACAACAACAGCAACAACAACGACTCCAGCATTCCCAACTCCGCAGAGAAATAAGCGCTACTTCTATCGAAAACCCAAGCCCCGTTAGAAGGAGTATTGTATGGGATTCATTATGGAACTTAGACGTTAGTTATCCCGGCAGATGATTAGGTTTGGTCAGCTCTCTTGTCCATAACCATACATCATCACATCTACCGCTTCCATACCTAAGCACAAGAAGTTTGTAGCTGATTAATTGGAAGGAAGACCAGCGTTGATATGCAGGATGAATGGCACAGTACAGGCTAATATTCCCGTATCATATTTTTATTGGGCACAGCGCTGGCGTAAAAGGGTCTGCTTGTCTTGCGGGGTTTTTTTTTCTGGTTTCTTGTCTCATAATAGATGCTTGGACACTTGGTTATTATTTTTTATTTTGGGGGGTTGGGACTAAGTTGTCGTATTAGAGAGAGAGAGAGAGAGCGAAGGACCTCGATGGAAAATAATACCCAATCCATGACCTAATTATTTACCTATCGACCATTGCCTTAATCTACGTCCTCCCCGGCGCATTTCTTATAATAACACTTCAACCTTGGAGAAATACGTATGCTATTTTAAAGATCGAATTTTTAAAAAGACTTCAAGATGGGCACTGCATATATTGATACATGGATCCAAATCTGTCGACATATGTGCATGTCTAGGTAGTGTTAGCTCAGCTACCCTAGCTGATTAGTATATCATACACGTGCTATGTCATTTCATGCGTATATGAGTACCATGCTAGCTCGCTACCAGGTAGTAGATACTTCACTTTCGCAGGCTTTCTACTTCCCTTGGTCTAGATAAGCATGTCGAAGCCAGTTATCCCACGGGGATGGCATAATAATTAGCACATCGCCCCTATTTACTCCTCTGGTACGACCTCAATCTTCCGCACCAAGGGCTTCAGGTCTTTGCCGGCGGAGATTAGAACCTCGAAGGTACCGAGGTGCTTGATGCGGTCTTCGCCCTCTAGACCTTGGATCTGCACGGCTTCTGCCTCGAGTGCCACGCTTCCACCCTGCGCCGGGTCTGCTTCTAACAACCTTTCTCGTATCAAGGTTAGGATATCGCTTACGGACACGGAACCAAAGATGGCTACCGATGCTGCCTCACCCGTCGGAGGCGAAGTCGAGACTTCGGCGGTGGAGTCTGTAGATGCTGCGGCGTTGGCGGCGAGAGATGGCGATCGAGGAGTGGAGGTAGGCTTATGCTCGCTAGATAGAGGCGCGGAGACAGTTGGGATAGGCTTGCGGGAGAAGGTTAGGATGGGAGGGAGAAGAGTTTCGAGGAGGGTGAGGGTTTCCTCGGGCTGGATTTATATGTTAACATAGGTCATGTCGTAGGATTACTTGTAAAAGTATTAAGCTAAACTTACGGGTAGTGTCAAGGTATCCTTCTTGCTCTTCCAAGTCTCTTTAGGCCCCTCCTCAGCCAGCACATCTTCAGATTCGACGAGGAGCTTGGTGCCGAAGGACCGATCGCGCACACCAATGGCAGCCTCAGTTAGACCGAGCTCCTTGAAGCGTTGGCGCGTCATGTACTCGGCCTGCGCCTTGGGAAACCAGTAGTTGCGCATGCGGCCGGGTTTGACTCGGATTATGGCATCTATCGCGTTTCCTCATAAGCTATACAATAATCTACTAGAGAAATATATAGAGACATAAGGGAAAACTTACCTCTCCGACCAAACCCTTGAATGTCCTGTAGCAAGCGCACGGGAATACCCTGCAAATCTTCCTCCTCGGCCTTCGTCGACGACCTAGCGCCTCGAGTCTGCAGAGATAGAAACGAGGGGGGCGATGCCGGGGTGGGGTGGACGAGACGGCGCAGACAGTCGAGACAAGTCGGTGGTTGGATAAGGCGCGCGGGTGCCATCTTAAGTGGAAGAGGCTCCAGACCAATTGGTACCAGTTAGGCCTGATCGAGTGAGCGTTATGCGTTATGCGTTATGCGGGAATCTTGTGCAGAGCTTCTTGAAGCTTTGTCGAGTTGAAATTTTGGAGGAGCCGAGTTTAAAGTGGTTCGGCACCTGCCGTCGGAGCTTTTTTTGGCCAATCATTTTGTTATCGCTTTAGCTTTTTGCGTCTTAGCTACTAAAGACTGGGGACGGGATACAACATTGAAGATAAACTGAAGTTTAATTAAATAACTACCTCTAAGGTACTTAAATTAGTTGAATTACTTGATTCATAAATTATCCTACGTGTATATTATCATATAACCTTCTAAAATTACGAAACGAAATTGTGGGGACGTTGGTCATGTGACCTAAGTGGGACAGATTTACTTATCCTATATATATTCCCACATATTTTAATTTACAATTAAAATACGTATTAAATATTATTAATAATAATTTTTACTTATTATATATATAATATTTTTTTATATTATATATAATATCTTTATCTATTTAATATTAATTAATAATTAACGATAAATTAATTATAAATTAATTAAATATTTAAAAGGGAAAAAATAGTTTATACGTTAAATTTCGATAAGAAAAGGTAAATAACTTTAAAATTTTATACTTTCGTATATAGTTTTAAACCTAAGATTTTATAATTTTATATATAATTTTAAGAAATCTCGTGTTAATTTAAGATTTTTAAATAAAAGAAATAATTTACGCGTTAAATTTTAAATCTTAAATTTACGTTTATTACGTATAAATAAGTAATATTAAAACTTTATTTTATTAAGTAAATAATTTTGAAAAAATTTATATTAATTAATTTACGCATTTATTACGCGCTTTTATTTATAATATATAAGATATTAAAAAAAAATAATAACATTACAAATTACGTTATAATTTTACCTTATTAATAAATTTTATACTTTACCTAAAAATTTTTAACCTTACTTAAAAAGTTTTACCTATTAATATTACTTAAAAATTTAATACCTAAAAAAATAATAATATTTAAAAATTATAAAAGTACATAATAATATTACTTTTTTTTAACCTTTTATAAAAATAATTTATAAAAATAAAATTAAATAAACCTTTTCTTTTATAATATATATTTTAATAATATTATTTTCTTTATTATTTTTTTTTATTTATTTCGTTTATTATAATAATTAATATTATTATTAACCTTAATTATAATATTATATACCTAATATGGCTAAATAAATATAAGACCTTTAATAAAAATATATTAACAATAAAAAATTTAGCGCGGAATTTATAGCCAACGATGTGATAAAAGTTTTAATAGTTTAAATCGAAATATATATAGTTAAAAATATATAAGGTTATAATGAAAATATAATTAACGAAATTTTATAGCATATTTTTAAAATTAATTTTAATAATTAAACCAAAGTTTATTTTAATAAGATTAAACGTTTATTTTGCGTTAAAATTAAAAAATATATTATATTTTATAATGTTTATGTAAAAAAAATAATTAATAATTATTAAATATTAATAAATATTATTAATATAAAATTATTTCCGATATATTTTAAAAAAAAAATATTTAAATTATTAAAAACCTACCTTTTTAAATTTAAATTTATAATTAACTTAATATATATATACTTATTAAAAATTATAACGGAAAATATTATAATTAAATCAAATCCGATAATAACAACGTTATTACCGCAATTACTTTCAATAGCTTAAATTATAAATACTTAAATTGTAATTATATAAAATTTTATATTAATATTTATATAACTATAAATAAAATAGGTATAACCTAATTTAATATAATTTATAAATCCTTAATTAATTTTTTAAATATTTTAATAAACTTAAATATTTTAATAAAAATAAATAATTTATTAATTATAATTAATTTAAATATTTTTAATAATAATAAATAACCTTATATAATAAAGTTAATTTATAAAAAATATAAAAATTTTTCTAAGAATAGTATAAAGATTTATTAAAAAATTATTTATTTATAAATAAGATAAGTAAATAGTAATATGTAAATTTTAACTTTTTATTATATTAATTAAATTATATAATAATAATAATTTTAAATTTAAAAATAAAAAATATAAAATATTAAATAAATAAATTTAAATTTTTTTATTTTATTATTATAAATTTAAAATTAAATTAAATTTATATATTAATATTTATAATATTATATTAAAAGAAATAATATTAAAAATTTTTTATAAATATCTTATATAAAAAAATTTTAATTTTAATATAATAATTAATAAAATAAAAGGTTTTTTTTATATAAATAAAAATTTTTAAATATATATATTTAAATAGAAAAATATAATAATTAAGAATATTATATAAAATAATCTTAAAAAAATATTATTTAAATACTTTAAAATATTAATTATATAAATATAATATATTTATAAAAATTTATTAATTAATTATATTAAAAAAATTTATTTTAAAAAAGGTTTATATTATATTATATAAAAATATTTAATATTTCTATCTATTTTTTTTTAATAATTAAATATATTTAAAAGTATTTATGTTAATTTTTATGTAATAATAAGTAATATATATTAAAATTTTTTTAATAAATTTAAAATAAAAAATAAATAATATTATATTAATTAATTTTATTAAAAAAATTAAAACTTTTATTAAATAAATTAAAATAAAAATAAACGTTTTAATAATTAAAAGTATATTAAATACGAAAAAAAAAAATATTTTATTTATAATAAATTAAATTGTTAATTTATTAAATATTTTATATATAAATAACGTAATAAGTGTAATTAATGGCGTTAATATATATAAAAATATAAAATGGAAAATATTAAAGAAAATTTTATAACATTTTTTATTAATTATAAAAAAGTTAATATTAATTATAAAAACAAAAATAATAATAATAATAATAATAATTTTAATTTATGATATATATAGTATAATAATAATATAAATAATAAAAATAATTTAACCTAATTATTTTTTATATAATATTTTATAGGTTATAATAAAATTAATAGTTTTTAAATTGTTAAAATCTTTATAAATTAAATAATTTTTTATATATTTATTAGAATAGATATTTTTGGAAATAATTTTAAGTAATATACCGATATAGTATTAGGTTTATTTTTTACCTTTTATTTTAAAGAATAATATATATATATATTTTAAAATATTTTATTTAATATTGGGGTAACCGGAATATTGTTAAAAGGTAAAATATAAATGAAAGTATTATAATATATATATTTTTATATTAAATTAAATATGTTTACAACAGAAAATTATATAATATGGTTTGATAATAGTGTTAAGTAAAGAAATATTAATATTATTATTATATTTACCTTATTTAAAACTATATAATTTTAGATTATACCTTTTAATATATCATTTTTATTATACTTTTATAATATAAATTATTTAAAAAATTTTTTAAATAATATAAAAAATATATTTATATATAAAAATAAATATTATTTTATTATTTGGAAATAAAAATATTTATGGTTTTTATTTAATAATAAAAAATAAATAATAATATATTATTATTTAATTAAAAAAAAATTATAATAAATATATAAACGTTTTAATTATCTAATTATAAACTAATTTTATTATATTTTTATAAAAATTAAATATAATAAATTAAATTAAATATTCCTTAAAAAAATTAATAAATATTATTATTAATATTAAATATACAATAATATATTAAAATAATTTAAATTTATTATAAAAAATAATATTAATTTTAATTATAATATTTATGTTAATATAATATATATTAAAGGCAAACTAATCTTATATGTTGTTAATAAAACTATATTATTTTAAATAATAAAATTTTTTAAAAATATGATAGTAAAGTATATTTAAAATATATTAAAAATAATATAGATAAATATTTATTTTAAACTATTTAATAATTTAATTTTTAATATAAATATAAATTTTATAATTAATGATTTTATTTTAAATATAAAAATATTATTAATAATTATTAAAAAAATATTTATTAAAATATATAATTTAATTAGAAAAATTAAATATTATTATAAACTATTATAATAGGTATATAAGGTAATATTAAAAAATCTTTAAGATATTTAAACTAATATTTATTATATTTTATAAATGGTTATAAAAATTATTAATAATATAATAAAATTAAATAATTTAATATTAATATTATTAATATTTAAAATATATTTGAAATTAATAAATAACTTTTTATATTTTTTTTTAATAATTATTTAAATTATAGTAATTAAAAAGGTAATAAATAAAATTTATAAATTTAAAATTAAATAATAAATTAATAATATATTAAATATAAAGAATAAATTAAATATATTAAATATATTAAATTTATCCTTTTAATTTAAAATATAAATTTATTATAAAAATAATAACTAAATTAAATCCTATAAATTAATTATTTAAAACAGTAAAATATATATTATTAAAATAAATAAAAAATTAATTAAATTTAAGATTATAATTATAAAACCTTATTTTTGAAATAAATTTATTCATATTCCAAACCTTATAAATGAAAAATTAAACTATAAACGCGGTAATAATAATAAATTTATTTTTAAAATTAACGTATTTATAGTTAAATAATTATAAAAATAATTTTTTAAAAATAAAAATAAGCTTTAATAAATGAATTCTTACAATAAAATTTACATATTTTTTAAAAAAATAATAAATATAAAATTATTATTATAATTATATTAAAAAGAAAAAATTACCACCTTGAAATAATTATTTAAAAAATTAAATATATAGGAAATAAAAGGATTTATTGGATAAAGAATATTTTTATTTAAGAAATATAATAAGAAGAAATATAAAAATATTTAATTTTTTAAATTATAAATTATTTATAAAGTTAAAAAAAAAAATATTAATAAACTGTATAAAAAATTATAACTTATTATTTAAAATTATAATAATAAAAAAAAAAGGAAATATTTATATAATTATTAATAATTTAATATTTTAATTAATAAATTATTATTATATTTATTTTATTTTTATAATAAAAAGTAGGTAAAATAATTATATAATTTTATAACATTATACAAATATATACTTAATTAAATATCAATTTAAATTATATAATTATTATTAAACTATTTAATAAATTTAAAAATTAATTTTTTAAAAATATTATAATAATTATTATAAAACTATTATATAAAATAACTAAAATTAATATATATTAATAAATAATTTATTTTAAATATTACCAAAAAAAATTCTTTATAATTATATTAATATATAATTTATATTTCTTAATTTTAAAATTATTTAAATAATTTAATTTAATTAAAATATAAATTAACAATATATTTAGGATATTAAATAAGGTATTTAACAAATTTAAAAAAGATAAAATAAAAAAGGTAAAATTTAAAACAAAATTTAAATTATATTTTAATAAAAATATTTTATTAATATTTAATAATTATATTATTTTGATTAATAATAATAATAATATTTACCTATACCAAAAAGAATAAAATAAAAAGATTGTATTAATTTAAACTAGAAAAAACAATATTATTTAATAATATATATAATAACAAACCTATAACGTTTATATAATTTTAATTTATTAACCTAAAATAATATTTAATATATATAAGATTATTTAATACCAAAAATCTAATAAAGCCAAAATTAATAAATTTAATAAATAATTTTAATAATAACTAAATAATTTATTATAAAATTTTTAATATATTAAATTAAATTTTATTATAATAAAAATCTTTATATTTATTAATAAATCATTTATGAATAATAAGGACTTTAATTTTTAAATAGGTTACAAAATTTTTATTATTAATAAAACTATAATTAATAAATTATTTACTATAACCAATAATTTAATTTATTAAAACTTTATAAAATATAAATAAATTATTTAAAACGTTTTAATAAATAAAATCTACATAATAATATATAATATAAATATAATTATAATAATTAAAATAATAATAATATTAATATTTAATAAAATTTAATTTTTTATAGTATTTATAATTATATATATTAATTTATTTTTATTATATAAATATTTTATTAAATTTAATATAATAAAAAAAAAACAATTAATAATTAATATTATATTGTTTTAACAATTTTATAAATAATAAAAAATTAATAATATTTAATAAATTTATAAATAAAATAATTTAATTAACGTAATAATAAAATTTAATATTAATAAAATCTTTAAAACGTTTATTAATACCAATTATATTATAATAAAATTATAAAATTAGATTAAATAAATTTAAAATAATAATACCAACTATTCCTTTAACCGATTTAAATAAATAAATATATATTTTAAAAAAAAAAAAATTATTAAATAAAATAATAATTATATATTTTAAAATATATATATTAATTAATTGTTATATTTTTAAATAAATTTAATAAATAAATTTAAACTATTAATTTATAAACTTTTTTTTCATTTATTAAAAAATTTTCCTTAATTATTTTTATACGTTTTTAATAATATTTTACTAATAAAAACTGTACCTAATTATAAAATACCTTAAATTATTAATATTAATATTAATAAATTATTAATTTATAATATTATAGTTTAATATTAAATTTTAAACATTTTTAAAAACGTAAATATATTATTTTATAAAAAATTATTAATTTAATTTAATATAAATAAAAAAAAAAAGAAAAATTATAAAAAAAAGCCGATTTTATTACGTTTAAAACGCCTTAAAATTATAACCTTAATTAATGTATATAATAAACCTATAATATTATATAATTACGTAAAAAAAAAAAAAGTTACTAATATAAAAACGTTAGTTATGTAACTTAGGTAGGATAGACCTACTTATCTTATATATATTCTTATATATTCTAATCTATAATTAGAATATATATTGAACATTATTAATAATAACTTTTATTTATCATATATATGATACCCTTTTATATTACATGTAACATCCTTATCCATCCAACAGAAATATAACTACCTGGATTAGAAAGGGTATACAATACATAGTTCAGTAACAGATGTCATCTAGTTAACTATAAATATAATAGATATTACCTCTTTCTTCCTAAAGTTGACTCGGGTGGAATATGTTCATGTACCTATTCCGCAATCAGACTACTTGAGTATCTTTCTTTATTATATAATAGCCGCTTTATTACACTTACACATCTACTATGTATTTTTTACTAGGATTATCTATAAGTTTTTTTTAAAGCAGTTAATTCACGGGTTTAATAGAAAGACTACCAATGAGTCGACCTCACTCTGCGCCCGCTGCCTATGGCAACAAATCTGCTGCTGATATCGAAGCGGAATTAAGGTCTCATTTTGCTGTTCAACATCATAAATTTACATTTGAAGGATTAATCGGTCGCGGTGGCTTCGGCATCGCTTTCTGTCTCGTCGAAAAGCTCTCGCATAATAGGACTCGACGTCTTGTAGTGAAGCGATCTCTAAAACCCCGAGGAGAAGACGACCTAAGAAATGAAATAGAATGGCTAAAAGTTCGTATAGGGCGTGTAACAGTAACTGTAGATGGCTAATGACTCACATGCTGTAGACTCTTCGCGGAGCCGAACATGTTGTGGGGATACTAGCATCTCGCGACGAACCTCACCCAACGACCTTTTTTAGACGTGACCGAAAGCGTTTATTGAGAAGACGATCTGCCTTAGAAGAATATTTAGAAGGATTAACTGGACCAATAGCAGTGATCGAGTATTTAGAAAATGGAGATCTAGCACGGTTATATAAAAGACTAGTCAATCGTGATCAGTTACTACCTAACCGAGTAATATGGTCCTTTTTTCTCTGCTGTTAGTATACCAACTTTATTTCTCTTGTATCCTAGAAATAACAGTCTAATATATGCCTAATACGTTTAGTGACAAGAGCTTGTGTTGCCCTCGCGTACCCTCCGAATAGCGGCGAAGATGATCCAGACCAGTTGGAGACGATCCCAGGAGATGACGCACAGCCGAGCAGGATTGAACATGCCGATTTGAGTGCAGCGAACAGTTTGGTACTACTTTCCCAGGACGTTTCATTTCACTAATAGCATAAAGTCATGATAGGTAAAGCTGGTGGCGGATTCCCGGAGCACGACTTAGTTCCACCGCTCAAATTCATCGACTTCGGACGAACAAGAGAAGGATTTAAAGGCGTCCCCGATAACGTTCGATCAGTAATGAGGGTATTTGCGGCAATCCCGTTCCAACTAGAACTATTAATAAGCTAACGTCGCTCCAGATTATGGTTAACCTCATCGCAAGACAACAAGTGAGAATATCGGCCTGGATTACAAAATACCAAGGGTTCGAGACAAGAGCAACGGAGTTTTTACACCATGGAAATGGCGCAAAATATCCTACGCTCGACGATGATATTCGCGATTTCCTAGCTATATGCTTAGCATACGAAGAGTCAGACAGAATGAGCTTGCGAGATATGCTGAGAATAGCTGAAAATGCCGTACAGACCAAAACCGCCGCAGTATTCCCGGGAGATAGGGGTGAGACTGATGAGGCGATTAGAGACTTGATACAAGAATTTATATATAATGCAGATTCAGATATATAGGAGCAGGGAAGTAGATATAATAAGCTTGTAATATACTTGTTTCTTTATAGATCATATATATGTCATGAATCTCTACCATCAATCTATCAGTTGGCGGGAGCTACTCCGGCCCCGGCTCCGGTTTCAATCCTTTGTCCGGCAAACCGTACCCTACAAAACCGAGTTTTTTGGGAAAGGGCTATTCCATAGGAATTGCAAATCATTTTATTAATGCTGGGCTTTGAAGTACTTTTTGCCTATTCATTAAGTGATAAAATTTAAATTTTCGGGTCCCAACCTTTATCACGTAGCCGTGATGTAAATCCCCAGATATCTAGTAGCTAGGTCGCAACCGGCCATATGGAGCCTCATTGTAAGATGACGTACTAATAACTATTATGAGGCGAGAAATTGTTTGACTAAAAGGTGAATAAATCGTCGAAAGAGTTTCGTCTAGTTCGTCGTTCTCATTTGGTACACCGTAGGATTTCCAAAATCCCTAAAAAGAGTCTCCCATCTCGCAACAAGAAAGAACATGGCTGCCGCAGGGCGGAAAGATCAGAATAAAGCTGGCAAGAGCTTTGACACGGGTAGTATGAATGCCTTGCTAAATGTTGATCTAGCCAGCGGTATATTTGAGGCCCCTGGCGCTATCGTAAGTAGAGTCTTCTCGGTATTATGTAGAATGCTTTTGTTGACTTGGTTTAAGCAACCTGAAGCCCAAAAGACCAAACCAGTGTCAGTGGCTGGAGGTCCTCTCGATAAGCTGGTAGGTGTAAGCTTCATACAATAATACCTTATTACATATATAATAGGACCGAGCATCCCGCTGACTAGGACATTATAGTGCGGGAGTACCGCTAATGAAGAGCAGAAATCTACAAGTGGGACACAAGAAACGGTTAACAGCAATATGGGCATTGGCCGCAAACTAAAGGATACAGCTGGTGCCAGCGCCATGATACTATAGGTTTTGGAGTATTTGAATCGTTCGTTTAATAGTGTTGAAGTTTTGAAGTACTAATTGAGTTTACAAGAAAAGTAGGGTCCTGGAACTCGGGGTGGCTTTTCACTATAACTATCATGGAAATCATTCTTTAATGCTAGTAATGTAATGATAAATCTTAGGTTGAATGTCCCATTAAATGATCCATTTCTAACCGTACTCTTTCAACATAGAATTGTTCTGGAATATATCAGGCAGTAGTAATGTTTTCTACTGGACACGCGAACATCCATGGTTAGTTGTATCCTAATACTCATTCTACTCCCTTCAACGTAGATTATCAAGGATTAAGATGTATCCTAATACTCATTCTACTCCCTTCAACGTAGATTATCAAGGATTAAGATGTATCAAACTGATAGCCGCCAAAGGAATAGGGCTAGAACGCCCGGATGAAATGTCACTGTCGTGATCCTTGATCCCTTCTCTCCTTTTTACCTACTACGTACTCCTATTGTCAACTATATCTCCGCAGTAAGCTGAAAACGTCACAAACCCGAATGGCTTGGCCGGAATTATCCTGAGACACCTGGTTTTAATCCCCCTCCTTGCTAATCACCGTAAGTCCGTAGCCTTGCGGGGGCTACTTTTTTTGTCCTGAGTGTGACGACCTGATGCACCATCACCGCCCTCCCTTTCCATCGGCACTTCCATTTTGGATCGTGAATGGACCTCACCAGAAACCTGGGCCAGCCGCACGCCCTTACCTTACCCCAGACGACCCCAGGTCACCCCAGGTTTTTCGCTCGCGGCTAAGTATGGGCACCCTGGTTCCTAGGACGCTCCACGACATCGCACTCGGCTAATTGCGCCCAAATGAAAAAGGATTGCAGATCCCTACAACTTTGAACCAGTGACCCATTCGAGCGCGCTAGTTTCTTCGATACACCGACGACAGCACTTTGAAGCGGCGCTTCTGCGTGCGAGACTTAGGCATGCAAGTCGACATTGGCGTGGCGGCATGATCATGGCTTCTAATGTCCTATCTGCGATGTGCGGGACACATCATGTTCTTTTCCGTTTTTAAAAAAGGCTTAGGTCCGCCCCTGAGGTTTGACGCGGAGTCTTCTCTGTACACTCAGTCACGCGAGACCTCTTATAGCTGAGATGCATGGTAATCTATACCTAAGCGCCGCCGCAACAGCCGCCTTGCTTTGTAAGCACACACCTAAGGATAGATAGGTAGACGCGTGGATCCTGTCTAACTCTCTTGTAGTATTCCAACCATGCTCAGCACGGGCTAATGTAGCTCTGGCACCGCCAGTTTGCTCTAATATCACGACTAGTCAGACCTGGGACTATATCATCATAGGCTCAGGGGCTGGTGGCATCCCGCTTGCTGACAGGCTGTCAGAGGCTGGGCACACGGTCCTTCTTTTAGAGAAGGGTCCGCCGTCGACGGGCGTCTGGGGAGGCACTTTAAAACCCAAGTGGTTGGATAATTCGACACTTACTCGCTTTGACGTGCCTGGGCTGGCCAACGAAATTTGGCACAACCCTACTGGCGTCGTATGTACGGATGTCGACCAGATGGCAGGTTGTGTACTAGGTGGTGGCGTGGCTGTCAATTCTGGCCTATGGTGGAAGCCGCATCCAAACGACTGGGACTATAGCTGGCCCGAAGGTTGGAAAAGCTCCGATGTAGTTGATGCGACCGCGCGGGTGTTCGAGCGAATACCAGGAACGACGCATCCCAGTACGGACGGCAAGCTATACCTGCAGCAGGGATTCGAGGCGTTGACATCAGGACTAAATGCAAGCGGGTGGGAGTTCATTGTGCCTAACGAACATCCCGATCGCAAGAACCGGACTTTTGGCCACAGCACGCACATGTTCTCTAACGGCGAACGGGGCGGGCCCCTCGCGACATACTTAGTCGATGCAAGCCAGCGCAAGGAGTTCACACTTTGGATGAACACTACCGCAAGGAGGGTCATTCGTGAGGGAGGTCATGCGACAGGCGTTGAGATCGAGTGCAGTAAAAATGCTGCTGGACACGCTGGTGTGGTCTCGGTTACCCCTGGAACAGGCCGTGTCATCCTGTCTGCTGGCTCCTTTGGCTCAGCAAAACTCCTTTTCAGAAGTATAGCTTTTCATCTATCTATCATAACCTCAGGTACTTGTTGGTCTTCTGACAAGTTAAAATAGGCGGCATTGGGCCAAAGGACCAATTGAATGTGGTGAAGAATTCAACGTCGGATGCGAAGACTATGATATCTGAGGATTCTTGGATTGATCTCCCAGTGGGATATAATCTAATCGACCATGTTGGCGTGAGTACTGATATTATCCAGGGCTATGCTATTTAGGACCATTGTCTGAACTTACGGTATATTAGACCGACATTGAGATTGCTCACCCTGACGTCGTCTTCTACGATTTCTATGGGGCATACAGCAAGCCCATCTTAAATGATACGGAAATATACTTGCGTAAGATATCCAGGCTAGAATAATGAATCCGGCATTGACTTTATCACAGAAAACCGCACCGGTATTCTCGCCCAAGCAGCGCCTAACCTAGGTCCTATCGTAAGTAACTTAAAACGGGTTAGGGATAATAATATTGACACATGTATAGTTCTGGGAGATCATTCCCGGTGAGGATGGAATAGATCGTCACCTGCACTGGCAAGCGCGAGTCGAGGGTTCCAAGAACAGTAAGCCTATTATCCCGATATCTTTCATATACCGGTGCTAAATTTGCGGTTTAGCTTCCATGACGATCACCCAGTATCTTGGAACTGGGTCAACATCGAGAGGTCGTATGGTGGTCACACCTCAGCTCAATACTCGCGTGTCCGTCCCTCCTTATCTCCGAGATTCCAACGACAAGGCAGCTGTTATCGAGGGGCTTGAGAGAGTGCGCAAGTATTTCGGACCCATCTCGAACTTGACTTGGGTTCGGCCGGCTTCAAATCAGACATCAACACAGTTTGTTGACTCAGTGAGTTAGGATTACTTTTGCCCCTTTATAATTCATCTATTTCCATATAAGAGAAGACGATGTAAATAAAAGAACTAAGGACTGATGATGTTAACATAAAGATCCCTGCAATACCGGCGGTGCGATGCTCGAATCACTGGGTTGGTACGGCCAAGATGGGACTTGACGATGGCCGGGTGGCCAATGGTACGTCCGTCGTTGACACAAACACCAAGGTCTATGGTACGGACAACCTCTTCGTCGTTGATGCGTCCATCTTCCCAGGAATGATGACGGGGAACCCTTCAGCAATGATCGTTGCTGCCGCCGAGCATGCGGCGAATAAAATACTGGCACTTCCCGCTCCAAAGATAATCACGGTTAATTAGGGGGTGATCAGAGTGTGAAAATATATAGAAGAATATAATCCATTCAATCGAACCCCATTTTTCCGGCATATGGTCGTCTGGTCGTTGTCGTTGTCCAATTACTTGAAATAAACCATGCTTATTACTAGAGCAACGTAATGAGAGGTATTTAAGGCCATTCAGAGGCTGGCTCAGATGGAATAGGTGAGGTGATCGGTCTAGAGTACTTCCTCGATGGGAGAAAATTTATTACATAGTAATGCCTAAGGTTTACCTTAGGATACTGTGTTAAATGTGAGTAAAGATTTCCTATTCGGTATATATGCCTTATTACCTTGTGCGGACTTTTCCTACCTTACAAGAAGTAATAAAACAAGAATAAGAAAAAATAAATAAATGACAAGAGAGGTAGAATTCTATTAAGGTATAAATGATTGAGAGGTAAATTTAGGAGTAGATCTACTAGGCATGGGTATATAAGATGTGTGCAGCGCTCTCGTGAGATGGAGGCATTCATAGTTTAATCTATCTTAATATTCATTAAGGCTACAATACCTAATAAATATCAGGTATGGTGCGGTGTAAACCTTAGGTTTCTATGTCTTATAAGTATAACCTCAAGTAGGGGATGTACTTGTTCAAAAATACAGCCAGGCCAATGATGAGTCCACATGTTGTCCAAGAGAGCATCATGAGGAGCCTGCTCCTTTTTGTGCTTCCTACTATCGTTGCGAAGTAAGCCCCGCAAAAAAAGAAAGGGAAGAAAGAAAAGGTAAACAAATATCCAAAAAGAGACACCCATATAAAGCCGTACATACCGACCCCTGTGAGTATTAAAGTTGAAAGCAATATAAGAAACCGTTTCCATTCTCTTTTCATCCATTGCCACGAGCCATGGCGGAAGCTATACCCACTTCTAGTGAGTGGAGCGTCAAACGAGATTGAACCGCCATTGAGCTGTTTCCCAACTGCAACCTTGAGCTGTTGGTCTGTTAAAGAGCGGGCATCAATACCGGCTTCTTGCAATTCTTTGGTCATCTTTTCAGCCATTTTCAATACTGCTCTCCAACCTCTATATGTTTCTACCTCTCCTTGGAGAGGCAATTGAAATCGAGCTTTAAGCCACAGTAGATAAGTTCCAATCGTTCCAATGGACAAGAACGCTAGTACGAGAAATAATTGTATACACGAAAATCCCCATTTGAATCGCTAGAAATGATAGATGCTAATGAGTGATATAGTTTATAACATATGTGGAATGAACACCTACATCTTGTACAGGCTGACATCTACCATTGGTGGTAACATAGTCAAGACTATATGTGTTGTTAGAATATAGAAAGGCTGTATTCGATATATTTGTGAATTCTCGTGTATGTTCCGTCCCTGGGTCGCCGGACCAGTTAAATCCATATAAAGACTTGGATGGAGGTATATAAAAGGCTGATATATTCAACGTTGGACTTGGGATTGTCGTATTCATCCAGCGAGATGATATATTTTTTAGGCCGTAGAACCCGTACGAAGATGCATCTATAATATAGTGCATTAGTTGAGGTTTTGCGCTGACATGGATGTTTACGTAGGTATATACGAACAGGTAGATACATTAGACTGTAACCAGCAGCCGGGTCTCACGTAATAGTCACTAAATTCGCAAGCCTCGAAAAATCTGTCATAAGAGGCAACTGATTCCACTGAGTAATTTATCAGCAAATATGACTGCGTTCGAGGTACTTTGAATACCTACTTTGACTACGTTCAGAGACGAAATATATATAGTTGCTAGTGAGATTGACTCTTTCTCCGTCATGGACAATATATGCCAGTGGTTGGAAAGCTGAGTATGAGATGTAATTGTTGTCAATATCTGGGACAAATGCTTTACCGATAGTAGTATACCCAGTCATTGCGCCAGCAACTGTTGGCCATGCTATGATGAATACCATGGTCAGGACCATGAAAACCATAGATATTTTGGACTTGAGACCTCGTCCAGAGATGAAAGACCGTACGATGCTTATTGTTGAAAAGAAGGATGGCTCATCTTGTAGGAATATAATGGAAAAAACTGTAAAAGTTACTGGTGCAAACTCCATCGAGGTGGTTACATAGTCGGCAAATACACGCCAAGACACAAATGCCATAAGTGCTTGTCCTCCGCGACCAATTACCTAGGTAGGTAGGCAACCATGTTAGTTCATGCTTGCTTTATAAGATGCTGTGTTCCTCACTATATCCCATGATATGTCAATGACTTTCGCCTCCGCAAAAGTTAGGTTCCCAAAGCCTAAGCTTATGTCGAAGAAGCTCGATGATTTCCATAGGCTATAGTCAGATGCATTGATTATGAATGAACCGTCAGTCCTACACGCTGATCCATTATTAATCTCGAAATCGATAGAATTATATAAGGCAATAAAGATGAAAAAACCCAATATCGCCATAGTCCACAATGTAAAAAGCGTCCAAAGTCCCGCACGTGCCCATCGGACAGAGCGCAAATCCGACCACGTTTCTCGATAGGTACGAGTCCATTGTGTCGAGATGGTTGTGAAAACCTTCCTAAAAATTGACTGCTTCTTCTCGGGAGGTGTTTCTACAATGAGAGAGTCTAATGATAAAGTCGATAAGGAGGTCATTGAGCCTGTTGCGTTATAACGAAGGTCCATTTGAATAACATACCTTCGAATCCTGAGGGACAAGATTGGTTAGGTAGATAGCGAGTCGCTAGAGTACTGATACTTTAGTATGTGAGAAAAAGACAACTACTAAAAATAGATTCAATCGAAAGGGGGAAGTTTTGATTATAATGTCGCATAAATAGTATGGAATAGGTATTGATTGGCTGTGATCCTAATAATTACGAGCAGGCTATAAGCCACTTAAGGTAAAAAATGACGAGCAATGTTGGGGGCCGGGGCCGCGTTCTTACATGAAACTCTATATGGATTAAGATATGTATAGACATCTTCATTGTTTTTCTATGCCCTGTAGTATGCATTATGCGGCGCTTCTATTGCAGCTCGTATATTCGAATCAAGTTTCCTCACAGTATTTTTATTTATTTAAAACTGCTGGATAACAAGCTACCGAACACATCGACATATAACCCGAATCCAAATTGCGATATGCTTTCAATGGTCGTTCTCTATACTCAAAGTATAATTATAACAAATTTCAACTACTTAGCACAACGTTTACGATGTAGTTATAATAGGACCATTACATCACGGGCGATATCTATGATTGCTCTTATGTGGGGTAGCTTAGAGTCGCTTCGCTATGTAGGTACACTATTGACCGGATTCGGTAGAGGGGGAGCGTTTGGATTGGCTGCGGGGATAAGAGCTAAGAAGAATAGTCAGGTCGCGCTGATCAGATATCCGAGAGTTTTTGGGATGGTGGTATGCGATAGGAGATGCAGTACGGTGGACTATTAGTCCAACTATACCAAAATTAAAAAAATCAGCTGCAATATACCTAATATAGTCAAACACATAATAGATATTAAAAATCATATACTTAAAAATTAATAATAAATATTTAAATTATATACAATTTAAATAAATATATTTTATTTAAAATTTAATAACTAATATATATATATAATATAAAATAATATATTATTTAAAAAGAATTTAAATTATATAAATAATTTATATAATTAAAAATTTTTATTAGGGCCTTATATTTACTATTAATATAAAAGGTATATATATACATATATCTTACTTATTTTTAATAAATAATATTTTAACTATTATAATTATATTAATTTAATAATATAACGTATATAAATTATATTATTAAAATTATTTTAATTAAAACTTTTAAATAATATAAGCCTTAAATAAATATATTTAATATTTTAATTACTATTTAAATATTTATATAATTTTATATATATATAACCGTAAAAGGATATTATATAATTTCTCTTAAAAACAATTATTACAACTATTTATATCTAAATAACTTTATTTTTAAAGCTTATATTTAATAGTTTTATATATTATTAAATAGTTTTAATTAAAACAATTTTAATTATATAAATTATATATATTATATTATTAAATTAAATATAATATATTAATTAAATTAAATATAATATATTAATTAATATTATAAATATAATATAAGATTTGACAAAAAGCTTTTTTACGGTTACACACTATATTAAATTAATTATATCTTTAAATAATAATTAAAATATAGTATATATTTATTTAAAACCTATATTATTTAAAAACTTTAATTAAAATAATTTTAATAATATAAGATTTATTTATTATATTATTTAATTAAATATAATATATTAATTAATATTATAAATAAAATTTTATATTAAAAATAAATAAAATATATTTTAATATATAATAATACATATAAAACCTTAATAAAAATTTTTAATAATATAAATAAAAAAATTTTTAAATACGGTTATATTTTAATAAAAAAAATATTAATTAATTAAATTTAATTAAATAATTATAAATATATTTAAAATTTTAATATATTTATTATAATTATTAATAAAATTAAACTTTTTATAAAACTAATAAAATAGAAAATAATTAATTATATTATTTTACTATTAAATTTAGTAAATATATATATACATTTATTTTATAAAATAATTTATAAAAAATATTATTTTAAAAAAGATATATTATATATAATAATTAAATATTATAATTACAATTACTTAATCGAAATTAAATAAATAAAAAATTAATATTTTAATTTATAAAATAAATATTTACCTATTAAACTATTTAATTTTTAAATAATAATTTTGGTATATATTTAATACCGTTTAAATTTAAATAATAATTTAATTTTAAAATAGTTTTATTTTTGTTTTTTTTCTTTTCCTATATATAATTTACTATAAAATATAAAATATAAAAAAAATTATATAACGTTAAATATATTATAATATTTAATTATAATAAAATTAATAATATATTTAAAAAAAAGAAAATTAAAAAAAAATAAATTTTTAATTAATTTTTCTT